CCCGTCACCCCTGCGACCCGGCCCGTTTCTCGCCCCCTTTCTCGCTGACCGGTTCACAGCGCCTCTTCAGCCGGCGCAACCGCCTGTAGCAGCAGCAAAGGATGGGGGCTCGGGTTTAGTCTCGAAATGCATTTGACGGGTTTTTAATTCTGTGCATCTTGCATACGGTTTCCAGTGTGTTAACGCTGAAGCGTGTTGAAGCGCAAGGTGGGGAATCTGCATGTTTACATTTGCTCCTCTTGTTTGGTCTACCATCTTCTCCGGTACTGTCTTTGGTATCGATGTGCTTCATAGCCTAATATTCCTGGGATTATTTTTTTTTTTTTCTGTCCTGCTTCATTTGTGGTTTGCTAAACTGTATGGCTATGAGACATTTTATGTCATTTCCCCTCCTTGCACACGTCAAGGGACTTCAGAAATCACCAGTGTTAAGAAGTGCTGGGGTTTTTGGCAAGGCAGTTGTATTTTTACATAGATGACTGCACTCAAGTCTCAGGGTGCTTTGCGATCTTGTTAAATACAGTAGTGAAACAATGTGTATAAAGCAGCAGCTGAGGGGGCAGCCCCTTGGCTCACCCCCGTGGCTTGCAGCTAACAGCTGGATTCCTTCCTCCTTCCCTGCTCCCTTCAGGCTCCTGAAGGTAATTTGGCAGGTGCCTATAGGCTGTCACCACTGAGGTGCAATCAGGAGAGCAGAACACGAACACGCAGGGGCGTAAGGAAAGGAGCACATTTCGAATTAGAATAGTCTGGTACCTGATAGGTGCAGTATGGTCGCTGTGATGTTGCTGTAGCACAGTACAGCCAAGTGGATAGTGGCAGTGTGATGTCTGGTGTTATCACTATATAATTTTCTCTATTTTTCCTTAAGTTCTGAAGTATGTTTACTGCATTTTCCCTCATAAAATCCTATGGAGGCACCTGCAGTTAAAAATATGACTGATGGCGCAAAGCTGCAAGCAGTTTTCTCCCATGTCGCTTCTCTATAAGGGGCATCTCAATGCAACCTTGAGCACTAATGCCCAAAGCATTTTTGTCTGTGAGCAGACTGGATTGCTTTAGTTCGTAGCCTGTGAGAACATCTCTTGAGTGTCTCTGGTGCACAGCTCATAACCAGATCTATCAGTTGCTCTTCCCAGGCCTCAGCGCTGAGAACATTTCAAGAGAGAAAAAGGGCTTAGCCAGCAAAATCCCTGGCTGCTGAATTATACCCTATGACCACTGGCATGTCAAGATAAGAGCTTTAAGTGCTATAGCTAAAGCTGTCTGCTGGTTCCAAGATGAGGGGACAAATGTACAGATAAACGTATTTTCGGCCTGGTTGTTTATCTCTTGTAGTATCGTTCTCCCACCCCCTTTTTCTTTCTGACTCTCTGATCCAGTTGTTACTATAGTTGCCAAAATGATCAAAACAGGCTGATCAGAATTCTGTGAGAACATCGGCGTGTTGCTGTATCTTCTTTCCTTCCTTTGAAACCCACTGCCTGCCTATCCCTAAAAAGCAAAAAAAATACCCTTTGGATCTGTTCGTACCACTTTCTCATTTTCAGGTTCCTTTTGTTCTCAAATGCTGTGGGTACCCAGTCAGCCAGTTGTTTTATTCAAATTTTATATACTTTGGCATGCTACTTCAGACTCTTTTGTCATGGATCTACTTTTTCCTATAAAGCATTAAAAGGAGTAAATCTGTATTAATGCTGTGAAACTCGTAACTTTCAGTGTTTCTGGGCTGTGGGTTTTATTTGCTTGCCTCATTATCAAAAAATAGCGGAGTGTTCAGTCTCTCTGATCTATGAATATGTATGTTTGGTGTAATGTTTTGTTGGGGTTTTTTTTGTTTGTTTTTTTAAATCTTACTTGGAACACTTTTCCTTGTATAATTTTGATGTCACCCAAGATGTTGGTACTTCCCAAAAGATATGGGAGAGCTCCCTTTTGGCTGTAGGAAGATGTCTGGGTTGGGTCAGCCACTTGTGAACTTGTGGGCGTGGGGGCTGAGGCACGATGTAACCCCCTGAAAATTGCCTTTGTAAGTCTGTTCTGGTAGCAGTGCAGCTGGAAAGACGACAGGGGACACCGGCATAGAGGAGGATGAATTGCTGTCATTGTAGGGAAGAACCTGAAGGTAAACCAGCAGTGCTGTTACCGAGGGGGTAAGGCTTGTGGCGAGAGGCGGCACCTTTCTGTTAACTCCACCAACGCAGGGAAGAGGTTTTGGGCATTAAGTGAGCCCTCTTACTTTTTTCACTTCGGGTCTGCAGACTGGCTTGTGAGCTTAAAAACTGCCTTTCCTCACTGTTACAGCCCACTGTCTTAAAGCCTTCTCCCTCATAGTTCACCTAAGAGAAGATACTGCCTCTTTTCAAACACTGCCTGCTTATCCACAGCGCCTAAACCAGTATCGCCACTACAAGCCAGGTTACGGTGCTTCTCCAGGTTGCTTTTGAAGGTACTCGATACGCATCACCTTAAACCATCGCGCAGCTCGGCGGGTCCTGCTCCGTACCCCTCCTCCCCTCCCCGGCGCAGGACGCTCC